GTTGGCAGCCAAAAATACAAGAATGTTTATTAAGGTTAAATAAGAAAGTCTAAGAATTTCCATTCCAATTATGAAAGTCTAATTCATTTTAATTTTTTGTGTTTTAAATATTCAACATACATTAGTTTATTAAGACAAATATTATCTATAAATCAATATGCATATTTTCAGTGTATACTAAAAGTTTCCTATTAATAGGGTATATGACTAAAACTATTTTCAGATTAGTAATATAGAGCATTATAGTTTGCCAGGTGTTTTTATGTATGTTTACTTCATCCTACAAGTTAGAATGGCCCATTGTGTCTCATAAATGAGGTTCTCAAAGTACAGTCTCTGAACAGTGACATTACCTGGGCATTTGTTAGAAATACAAATTCTTACACTATAGCCAAGACTAACTAAATCAGGGGGTAGAGACCAGCAATTATGAGTTTGAAAAAATACTTCAGGGGATTCTGATACATGCTAAAATTTGAGATTCACTGGTATAGGTCATAAATAGTAATTATTAAAGCCAAATACATTCTGATGCTTCTCAGAGTAAAGTATAATGGGTAAATGGAAGTCTAATTTTGAAAACTTGCAACAGAATTTTCTATACAGTGTTGAAAACCACAGTAATCTGACATTCTTTCTTTGGCATAAATATGACATTTTCCATAAGATAAAATAAAATATACACATGCATCAGCAAAAGCAAATGGATGCAGTGTTTATCTTATTGCATTTAGAAAAAAGTTAATAATTAGAGTTAGTTAGATAGTTTTGTGTATAAATAATTTCTCTGTTTAAATAATCAGGCCAGGCGCGGTGGCTCACGCCTATAATCCTAGCACTCTGGGAGGCCGAGGCGGGCGATTGCTTGAGGTTAGGAGTTCGAAACCAGCCTGAGCAAGATCGAGACCCCATCTCTATTATAAATAGAAAGAAATTAATTGGCCAACTAATATATATAGAAAAATTAGCTGGGCATGGTGGTGCATGCCTGTAGTCCCAGCTACTTGGGAGGCTGAGGCAGGAGGATCTCTTGAGCCCAGGAGTTTGAGGTTGCTGTGAGCTAGGCTGACACCATGCCACTCACTCTAGCCTGGGCAACAAAGTGAGACTCTGTCTCACAAAAAAATAAAATAAAATAAAATAAATAATTGGTTCAGTGTTATGTCTCAGGTAAGATTACTACATTCCATTTAGTTCAACATCTAGTATGAAGGATGCTGTTTACATTAGTAGAGGTGTGGTAATAATCAAATATGTAGGGAGTAGGTGGCTGATTTTATATAGAGTTAAGAAAAAAAGCATTTTATATTTGACTATTAAATTAAACTTTACAGGTAAGTAAAATCATTGAACCTACAGATTTTTTAACTTATCTATTATCATTAAATAAAATATACATAAAATCAAGTACATAATTTAATAAATCTGAAATGTAAAATATAACAAATATATTTAAGGTTCAGGGAGTTCACCTTGTGGTCTGAATTAATCACACATATTTCTTCCCTACTAGTTATCATTAACTTTTGCTTTGTGATATTCAATATTTTAGGTTTCCTTAGAATTATACCACTTGTGCACATCCTTAATCTATGTAGTTTATCTGGTAAAGGAAGTTCCTCCTACCTCTAGTTAACCAATAATTGTTATTATAAATTTTTCTAAATCCTTTTTTTTGTATTTAGTGAGATGATATATGACTTTACTTCTCTAATTTCCTGGGATAAATTAACTGATTTTTATAAAGTATAATTTCCTTGCATTATTGGCACCTTGGTCATAGTATATAAGGATGTGTGTTTATATGTGTATATTTTCTAATATTTTGTATGTGTTGATAATATCTTAGTTTTATGAGTGTGGCCCACTGCTATACTCCTGAAACTGCTCTTGCCAGATTGAGCATAAAGATTATGCTTTTCTGAAACTAAATCAGGGAATATACCCTATTTTCATATTCTCAGACATATATTTTTGTGTTTATTTAGAATTATTTTATTTGTGAATATTTAATACATTGTGCCACTGAGGTTTCTTACTGGTACTATATTTTATTATAGGTTGAGTATTCTTATTCAAGATGCTTGGGACCAGAAGTGTTTAAGGTTTCAGATTATTTCAAATCTTTTTAGATTTTGGAATATTTGCATTATACTTACCAGTTTAGCATCTTTAATCCAAAAATTCTTTGAATGTCATGTCAGCACTTCTAAAGTTTCAGATTTTGAAGTATTTTGAATTTAAAAATTTCAGATTAGGGATACTCAACCTATATTTATTTAGTTTGTCTAATAGTTATAAAATGGCTCAGAGTTTCATTTCTTGTTGTGTCTGTTTAACAAGTTATATTTTTCTTGGAATTTGTTCCTTTACTTTAAAGATTGTTCAATTTTAATTTAAAAGCTTTTCAAGTTATCTCTTTCGAGAATTATAATGTGTATTCTTAATATATTAAAGGCTAATTCTTTTTCATTTCTGAAGGATCTACAGTGCTATTCCTTTCTTAATCCTATCATTAATTATTTGTACTAATTTCTGTTTTTACTCATTTGTTTTCTAGAGAATTTAAAATTGTATTAGTCCTTTCAAAACATTAAGTTTTTGTTTTTTGTTCATATGTACTGTAAGTTTGTTAGGAATATCATAATTTCTCATCTTATTATTATTAGCTTCCTTGTAATTTTAGGAACTTATTTTGTTCTTTTTAAAAAATTCTTTGAGTCAGATCCATATTTTCAGCCTTCCTTATTTTCTAATATACGCTTTAAAGATGCACAATTTTCTGTAAAATTTCAGTCTAGGAGAAAGGGGAAAAAATGGCAGACGAGGGGTGTCCTCCTGGTTCTCTGCTCCTAGAGTGGAAAGTGAAGAAAGCAGATAACCACATGCTAGTGAGCTGCACTTCCACAGGACCAGC